CGGGATGCATTTACTGGAGACCTGATGCACACCTGGCAGTCCTCTATGGCTGAGCTGTAGTTCACATCATGGTGTGAACTGAATCCACCTGAAGAAAGTCTGAGACAGGCCTGTTATAGTGATTTATAATGAGAATTTTGGTTTCTTTAAATATATAGAAATATTATGAAAATATATTTTTGTTTTATGCAGGTTATGGGATATGGGGCTGCTTCAGAGCAGCACAGTAAAGTGACAGTACAGGTTCATTCTCATGAGTCTCCAAGTTCCATGGAGCATGCAGTACCAAGGGACAGTTTGTGACTTCCATAGACTTATAGAATAGATGCTGTTTCTGTCTGTCTCTGTCTTTCTATGACTCTACCTCAGTGTTGAAATACATGCGTTTTATATGAGATAAAGCATGCAATGAAGCAATTTAAAAGACTGGATTGAGAGCTGCTTAGGTGCAGGCCAAACCAGTCAGAAGGGTGGGTTAGCCCCTGCCAGCTGAATTGCCCTACTCCCTAAACTTTGTTCCCCAAGATATATTCTACCTCTGTTCCCCTCCCAACTCTTGGCTGGGCCTTGGTCAGGTCCTTACCCCAACACTTGCAGTCTCCAGCTACTCAGCTGTAGGCTACACCAGTTAAAATAGAGATGCCTGCAAACCAAAGATCAAACAAGGCAAGCCCACAAACTGGTCAGAGACTACCTAGTGGTTCAGAGGTCAAGCTTGCTGCCAGAAATTAAGTCCACAAAGCACAAGGCGGGAACAGAATTCAAAGAATGAAACATTCCCTCAACAAAGACAAAATCAGAAACCAGCACCAGGACTATAGTCATTAGAAACACAGATGCCTACATGCCAAACCAACAACAGCCAGGGCAATATGGCACCACCAGCACCTAGCTATCTTATGATAGCAAAACTCAAATATTCTGATGCAGCAGAATACATGCAAACTACCTTAAAAGCAACTTTATGAAAATGATAGATGTCCTTAAAGACGAAATAGGAAAAATCTCTTAAAGACATTGAGAAAAAGACAAAATATTGGGGAAATCAGCCAAATAAAGCAGTCCAAGACCTAAACATGGAAGTAGAAACAATAAAGAAAACACAAATGGAGGCAAACCTGCAAGTGGAAAACCTAGAAAAGTGGTTAGGACTTTTATCACCAACAGAATACAAGAGATAGAAGAGAGAATATAAGGTATGCAAGATACCATAGAAGAGTTTTGCAAACTGTCAAAGATAATTCAAAACACACAAAACTCCTAACCCAAAACATCCAGGAAATTCAGAACACAATGAAAAGACCAAATCTACAAATAATTGGAGTAAAGAAGAATGAAGATTCCCAGCTGAAATGACCTGAACATTTCTTCAATCATAGAAGAAAACTTCTCCAAGATAAAGAAAGAGGTGGCCATAAAGGTACAAGAAGCCTATAGAACACCAAATAAATGAGACCAGAAAAGTAAATCCTCTTTTCATATAATAATCAAAACACTAAATGTACAAAACAAAGAAAGAATGTTAAAAGCTGCAAGAAAAAGGGGCCAATTAACATACAAAAGTAGACCTATCAGAATTACATCACACTTCTCAACAGAGACAGTAAAAGCCAGAAGAACTAGCCATTGAACTGATCATGAGGTTCTCAATGGAGGAGTTAGAGTGAGGACTGAAGGAGCTGAAAGGGTTTGTGGCACCATGAGGAGAGCAACAATACCAACCAACCACAGCTCCCAGGGTCCTAACCACCAGCCTGGGAGCACTTATGGAGGGATCCAGGGCTTCAGCTGAATATGTAAGAGTAGAGGGCCCTGCCGGGCACAGGTGGAAGATGAGATCCTTGACCTCATGAAGGCTGGACGCCCCAGGGGGTGGGAATTTTGAGGGTGGGGAAGTGGGAGTGGGGCGGGGTAGGTGGGGGTTACATCCACAGAGAAGAAGGTGGAGGGGTAAGGGGATGGGGGGTTCCCGGGTGGGTGGGGGATGGGGTAAGGGGATAACATATGAAATGTAAATAAAATATCCAATAAAAAAATAAATAAAAAATAAAAGCCAGAAGAGCCTGGCTCATGCAGACTCTCAGAGAAAACAAGTGCCAGCCCAGGCTACTACACCCAGCAAAACTCTCAATCAACATAGATAGAGAAACCAAAATATTACAGGACAAAACCAAATTCAAACAGTATCTATCTACCAATCGAACCCTACAGAGGATCCTAGAAGGAAAACTCCAACATAATTAAGATGCCTACACCAAAGAGAAGACAAGATATTAAGCATCTCACAACAAAGCCAAAAGTAGAGAGCCACATGCACATAAAGCCATCTACAAAAACAAACATAACAGAAACCAACAGTCATCTCTATTTAATGTCTCTCAATATTAATGGACACAACTCACCTATACAAAGACTTAGGCTAACAGACTGGATATGCAAAGAAGATCCAACATCATGCTGCATACAAGAAAAAACATCTCAATAACTAAGACAGGCACTATCTCAGAGTAAAAAGATGGAAAAAGGTCTTCTAAGCAAATGGTCCCAAGATAGACTTTCATCCAAGAGTTATCGAGTGTGATGAGGAAGGACACTTCATATTCATCAAAGGGAAAATCCACCAAGAGAAAGTCTCAATTCTGAACATCTATACCCCAAATGCAAGGACACCCACATTCATAAAAGAAACTTTACTAAAGCTCAAAACACACATTGAACCTCACACAATAATATTCGGAGACTTCAACACCCTACTCTCACCAATGGACAGGTCATTGAAACAAAAACTAAAGAGAAGCACAGTGAAACCAATAGATGTTATGAACCAAATGTATTAACAGATATCTACAGAACAGTCCACTCTAAAAAAAAAAAGAATACCCCTTCTTCTCAGTACCTCATGATACCTTCTCCAAAATCAGCTATATAAATTGTCACAAAAGAACCATCAGCTGATACAAGAAGACTGAAATAATTTCATGCATCCTGTCAGGTCACCATGGCTTAAGGCTGATCTTCAATAACAGCAAAACCAGCAAAAAGCCCACATACACCTGGAAGATGAACAATACTCTACTCAATGAAAACTCTACCAGAGAAGAAATAAAGAAAGAAATTAAAGACTTCCTGAAATGTCATGAAAATGTTGACACATCATACCCAAACTCATGGGACACAATGAAAGCAGTGCTTAGAGGAAAACTCATAGGACTAAGTGCCTTGGTAAAGAAACTGAAGAGATCATATACTAGCAACTTAACAGCACAGCTGAGAACTCTAGAACAAAAAGAAGGAAACGCACCCAAGAGAAGTTGACCTCCATTAAATAGTCAAACTCAGGGCAGAAGTCACCCAAATAGAAACAAAGAGAACAATGCAAAGAGTCAACAAAACCAAAAGCTGGTTGTTTGAGAGAATCAATGAGATAGATAAATACCTGGGCAAACCAACTAAAGGACCCAGAGGCAGTATTCAAATTGACAAAATCAGAAATGAAAAGGAGATATAACAAAGGGAGAAAATTCAAAAAATCATCAGATTCTACTGCAAAAGCCTACACTCAAAAAAAAAAAAAAAACAAACTGGAAAAGCTAGATGAAGTGGATAGTTTTCTAGAGAGATAGCACATACCAAAGTTAAATCAACAGCAAGTAAACTGGCCCATGTCCCGTAAGGAAATAGAAGAAGTGTTCAAAACCTCCCAACCAAAGAAAAGCCCAGGGCCAGATGGATTTCATGCAGAATTATACCAGAGCTTGAAAGAAGACCTAATACCAATATCCCTCAAAGTATTCCTGGGGCATTAGAGTCAAGGGAGGAGTCACATCCACTGTGTGTTCAATGGTTAGTTGCCAGCATCCTCATCCTCATGGTCCCTCTGCTGACATTCTTAACTTACAAAGTATGGGGCAAGGACCAACAACCCCAGTTTGTAACCTCTGAGGGTGAATTGGGAGACAAAGAAGTAATGAGGAAATACTGGTAGATGGGGGTAAGGGTTTAATCTCAAGTATGCAGGCATCTATAAGCCCACATTTCTCATAATATTTATTTATACTATGGCTAAGTAATTATCTATTACTAATTTAGATTTGGATATTTTAACCTCATGTAAAGTACTTTGTATATGAAGTCTATCAATTTGAATCTTCTAAGATCTGTCCTTTGTAATTCACTGTGTTTGTGTCTCTCTGGCAGGGTACATGATCAAGGTGTTCCTGGTGGACTAAGTCTAACAGTCCTCATCACGGGGAGACTGTGATCTGATTCCCCATCTGCTTGACAGTGACTATTCCTAACTTTGACTATTTTAAATCTGGCTATGTGAGCATCGTTGTGCAAATGACAGTATGGTTCTCTACACATAGTTCTGGATCCGTGTGTGTGTGTGTGTGTGTGTGTTTCCTGGATCATGTGATAATAGACTCTAAAAACCATGTTTCCATACGTATTTGACAAATATAAACAACTGAGAAAATTGAATTATTAGAAATATCATGGCTATCACATAGAGTCATGGATTGTGCTAGAGAGATGGCTCAGCAGGTAAATATCTTGCTCTGTAGAAGACTCCAGGTCAATTACCAACACACACACTGAGAGATCCACAAGTACCCATAGATAAAGCTGCAGAGTACCTGACACCTCTTGCCTCCATGAGCACTTGCACTCAAGTACACACACACACACACACACACAAACACAAACACAGAAATAGAAACACTGTTAAATCTTAAAAATATATCCTCCTTTGGAACATAAAAGCTATGTGCAAATCCAGGTCAAATGAGAGCCAAATCACAGATCATTTTGAAAATACAGTGAGACATAGGAACCTCATGTGATACCTGAGATGTATGCAGTTTAATTTTCTTTTATACACTTGTCATCCACAGACAAAGTAAACAGATTTAACAATAAAAGATGATTTCTTATATCAATTTGAAGACACAGAATATTCCCACTATGCTATGATCCATATGACAACATGTTGGATTCTATTAAGGGACCATACCCATCACTGAATAATCAAATATTTTTACTATTCTGCCACACATTGACCTCAAAAATGTAATTATATGCTTTTCAGTCCAAATAAACACGAAAGGACTGACTGTGGCATAGCTATGGGACACAATAATTTGGACACAGTACAATATTGAGGAATTTTTGAACTTCATCCTTGAGTGGAAGATAACAGTGTCCAAAATGTAGAGAACCACAAAGAAGCTCATGAACAGTATGATGACCCTGATGGCCCTTTGTTCTGGGGATGCTTTTGAAGAAAGGCTGGTGCTGTGAAGGTGCCGGGCCTGTTTCTTGTGCCTCCATAGGAGAGCTACCATGTACCCGCTGGACAGGACCATGAGACCAATGAGAAAGGCTTCCCTGGTGGCCATCGATGTGATAAACAGGCTTTTTCTGGAGTAACTCAGGGGTAGAAGTGAGCATGACTGAGTAACATACATAAAATTATCTGAGGACAAATTGGGGGTAGCAATAATCGATACTAAGAAGTAACCACTAAAAGACAAATAGAGGACACAGAGGAAAAGAAAGGCACCTGAGATGTGATGGGGAGATTTATGTTTAAACTTTGTTAAACAGGAGCTTCTAGGACTAAGGGTGATGGTCCAAAGGACATTTAGCAAACAGGAAGCACAAAGGGTGAGGCCCCTCAGAAGCCTGTGCAAATAGATAAGGAATTGGCATGTGGTAGAATCCCATCTCCCCCCAGACATAAACATGTCCACAGCTATGAGTCCCATAGTTATAAGCAGCATTAGTTGGGTTAGGGACAAGAAAACAATGTAGAGATCATTGGGCTTAGGCCTGTTCTCACCAATGAACATGCAGAGGTGGGCAAAAATAAGGATACTGTTAGCTGAGATCCCAATACCCAGTTCAGAGAACAAGGTGATTTTCATGTTGGTGTCAGTATGGAGTAAGTTGTCTTTATTCATTATATGTGGGTAGGAAGCAAATAGCAACAACCTGAGGAAAAAAGAGAAAACTCTTTCTTGCAAAACACAGCCTTATTCACAAATGCCAAACACCACCAAACTGGCAACAAGATGTCACCTCATCCCAATTCTTCATGATCTGAACTCAGTTCCAGCTCACACCACCTCAAAGCCATCCCCACTGTCCCCACTGTCCTAATGCTCTATATCCAAGGCTGAATTTTGTGCACCATTGTGGGGATACCTCTGAATATAAACTTTCTTGTACATTAAACATTTCCATGAGTTCTAAGAATCATTTCCACTCTTGGTCCATGGGTTTGGTTTCTTCTGGGCCAAGAGCTCCATTTCCCTTGATTGTCAGACACATAATAGCTTTACCTATCTGGTGAATGGGAGTGGAGAAGATTGCACAAATCTAGAAATGTGCTCTCTTGGAAGACTGTGTGCCCATGGGTCCAGTGCACAGGGTCATTTATATAAGTGACTGTTTAATTCTGCTCCTTACCTCCAGGCCAAATACTCATTCTCCATTCTCTCTCTCTCTCTCTCTCTCTCTCTCTCTCTCTCTCTCTCTCTCTCTCTCTCTCTCTCTGTGTGTGTGTGTGTGTGTGTGGTGTGTTTCCCTCTCAGACACACTCCATTTTCCTCTGCCTCTCCTTTCTTCTCTCTCCCTGCTCTCTCTTTCTAAAACACCATTTCTCTGCATAGCCCTGGCTGTCATAGAATTCATTCTATAAACCAGACTGGTCTCTGACTCAGAGATCTATCAGCTTCTACCTTCCAAATGTTTGGATTAAAGACATATGCCAATGCTGCCCCTCCAGGCAAAATATTCTCAATAAATCTCTAGAACAAATGATTATCAATTTGAACTCTCAATCAAATTTTACCCACTGCCTTTTTTTCAGAATGTGACCTTAAGCACTCAGAGCTCCAGTCATCTCCTCTAGAGCATATACCTGTGGCAGAGGTCTCTAGGTGTGAAAGAACGAGCTACATACATACCTACCAAACATGGAACTGATTCAGGCACAGAATGGTCTCTATAGACATGTCTGCTGATGGTTTTCTCATGCAGTGCCTTGTCATGTGGCCTAGGAGAGACAATTCAGCTCGGTTAATGACTGATCAGCTCTTTCTCTGACTGAAACAGAAAAAGATAAAAATGACCAAAACAGTAGAATGGTGGAGCCAGGTTCCCTTTTCAAATAGTGTGAAATTCTGGTCTTTATCTTAATTCTAAATGACTCTGCATCCAACCTATGACTTAATCTTCTCCCAATAATGCCTCTGTGAAAAGACCCCAAGAATTAAATATCAGTGTGATATTTAAAATCAGTGTGATATTAACATACTCTTAGTTTTTTCTCTTTTGGCATGTAAAGTCAGGGTGGTAAATAAACTACAATTATAATAGACTTAGGGCCTTCCCACTCTAACATCATGATTAAATGAAAAGTATCATCCAATGTTGGAGGATTAGCTCCACAGGAGTCTTCCATCTCCTTCTAAGAGCAGGAGACTTCTCCAGACTCCAGAGAAACAAACACAAAAAGCATGAGCAGTGGGTATTTTACATAGAACTTGCCATTTCCTTTAATAAACATTTATTACATATGAAGCCTATACTGTTGTAAAAAAGAAAAACTTACCAGATACATAGATAAGGATTATCAAATGAAAATCAAGGATATGAAGTGAAATAATTTCATAGTTTTTCCTTTTTAATTTATATTGTATTGCAATATAGTATATAAACAAGAAGCAATAGGGTTTTAAACCTTCTAAGTATTTAATCGAGAACACTTCTCTTTGCAACAGAAGAAGGTCATTATATAAAACTATGGGTGCCCATTTTGTCCTGCCAGTGCAGGGCGGTTGACTGTTTCCCTAATGCTGCCACTGTTGGTCCTGGGCTTCCTGGGCTTTGGGAAAGCTCTGAGACACTGCTCTCGTGTCAGGAAAATGCAGTCTAAGATGTCGCCATGTAAAAATTATATTACCTGATTCCTAGGCATCTAGTTGCATCTAGAAAACTACACAGTGAAGTCCTGAATAAAATGTTGGGAAGCCACTAGCCCTAATCAAGACCAGGATCTTTGGAGCCCATGGGCTGAGGATAGAGTCTAGCCCTGGGCTTGGGCTAGAAGCTCTGGGCTTAGCTAAGCTGGGAACATAGCAATGATTGTCTGGGAGACCACAAAGAGGCCTTCTATGGGAAACTTAGACAGCAAGGCTCAGTAGGTGAAGGACTTCTCCATGTTCCCCATGGCAGCCATAGATGAAAGAGCCAGTCCTTATTTCAAATCTGATTATTGGTTGTTCATCATGGAAAATGGACGTGTATCTACTTCTCAGGGTGGCCCAGAGATTAAACACCATTTGTAGGAAGGAAAGTCCGGGAAGGGAAGCTTATTGGCTAAGCCGTCAGGGCCTTGAAGTACCTCATTATCATGGAAAACACTGTGGTTGATTACATGACCAACATATAGGAGGAGCTTAGCCCATGTTCCAGGCCAGGATGGAGAAGAGAGCAGGGAGGTGTCTACTGTCTCAGGTGAGGGTATTCAATTTCCAGGGTCTCAGTTCAACTCTACCTTACCATCTTTCTTGACATGGTCCATTGTCCCATAGAAAACTACATTCAATCAATGTGTAGAGTTGTGGATCCCAGTTTCAGTGGATCTGTCTACCAAAAACTCCTGCAGTCAAGGCACAGAGAACACTGCAGAAGATGGGTGGAAAGATGGAAGAGCTGGGCGATCAGGGAGTTTGCTGTGAGACTGTGTCTCCTGGTCCTGTTAAGGTGATGTGGCTGCCTGAACATGAGGTAAACAAGGACAACAATTAGACATGCCACGGTACAGGAAAGCCCACTACTCAGCCTACACTACAGGTAACTAAGGAAAGCTAAGAACAGAAAGAGTCATCTTCTCCAGAGGAGAGCACACCCATTTGATTTCCAATCTCAAATGTCAACATGGAAAACACACATACAAGTAACGCTACACAGACTGAGCATGTTGTAGTTATGCATTTAAGAATATGAATTATATAATAAAGAGAAGAAATTAAAGCAAAGGACAGCATGGGGTTATTTAGAAGGGTTTTGAGGGAGATAGCAGAATGAAAAACTCATAATCACATTATACTTTTTAAAAAATCAAAGAATTATGAAATGAAGTAATAGAAAAAAATGTTAGAATTCATTAACACTGGGTAAGAATTTATTATTCAGAGCTGAGGTGGAGAGTTGGTGAAAAGATTTAATAATTTGGCTTTGTGAAATAGGTTGGGAGAAAGAAGGAAAGGATTAGATGTCAGAACAGGAGAACAAAATGCACCTGGAGCAGGAAATGTCCAGAAGAATCCTGAGAATTCCTTGATTGAGCAACTGTAAAGGCTTCAACTGCTAAGAAGCACAGAGTTGGCCCCCTGATCTGCATGGAGCCAGGAACCCATAATTATGCCATCCTTCCATTACACAAATCACAGACAGCCTGAGATCCATGGCATCATCAATAGGCCTCAAATGTGTGACCAGTGTTCAGCACAATGACCTGACATTGTAATCTGGCAGGAAGTAGAGAGCAGGATGGAAGAGGGAAACATCTCTGTAGAAGCCACTGCATGCTGGGTGCTTATGGCCCTGAGGGTGCACTGCATCCAGGGTGGAGAAAGGCAGTGTGTGTGTGTGCCCTCCTCTTTTTAGAGGAGGACAACCCATGGATGAAGCCTACCTACACCCTGGTGTTGAGTGGTTGTGTAAAGAACAGGGTTTAGGTCAGGTCTGAGCAATACCTGTCTGTCCTTATGTTTATCAGACTCTGTGTTTGTGTTTGTCATTGTCACACAGCTCAACTTAACAGGCTACCATTGCTCTCACACCTGCTATGCCTCCCTGAACAATGGACCTAGGGATTAGAAGGTGGAACTGGCTCTGCTTCATGAAATGAGATGCTGTTTACAATGGAATTATTATTGAGCCTTGATCAGAGAACTTTGTCTTCGCTTCATCTTTTCTCACCCTCCGTCCCCATTTTGTTCCCAGCCCTCTTTTCAGGTGAACCTGTTCAACTCGTGGCCATGGGCGGCTACAATTACAGCTTCTTGTTCCAGTTCTGAGATCCACACCTGATTTTCTGGGCTCCACCAAAGGACTTGGGTCACATATTAACATTCTTCTACTCTGTACCCTCTAGAGTTAGGCTTCCACACTTCAAATTACCCTTAGCAACAAAGTCTTTCATATTCCTATTAGGATGGTTCATTAAGTCCCACTTACAGCATCCCACTGCATTCAAAATCCAGAGTCCCAAAGTCCACATTCTTCCAAATTTACTTTCAAATATCAATGCAAACCAAAAATCTATGGATACTCCAAAAGTGTACAATATTGATGAATTTTAGGAGTTACATAAAATGAATATCCTCAGAAGAAAGCATATTGGTTACCCATACAGAACACAGTCCCCTATACTGAGAGGGTTGTCAGAGCTCAGCTTCTCCATTGAATATGCTGAAAACCTCCATGTAGCCCAAGAGCTCCTCCACCCTCATCCTGCCTGGGACCAGTTCACCTTGTGATTCTGCAATTGGGTGCAGGGCACTTACCCAGATGGACATGACAAGCAAAGACTCTGTGTATGAGGATATCCTACACAGGCTTGGATTAAGGGAGTCTTTAATGCATCCCTGCAGTTTGTAATTTTAGTGTCTCTAGAACGTGACAAGTTCTCATTTTGGAGCACAGAGACCTGGGATCTCAATGGAGCATCTTTCCTGCCTTTGATCTTATCTAGATAACTGCCATCTAGGGAGGGCTGGGAACAAACTTTATCTGAGTTTTCTAGCAATACCTGAGGGAGGGATCAGAAAGTTTGCACCAATTAGGCAACTCTAACTTTGCTCATTTTGAACATTGGGTGTACTCAATCCCAAACCATTTCATACTTTGTGATATGTCTGCTCTGGGGTGAGAGACTTTTGAGCCTCCCATAACTTTCCATCAGCCCTGAGGTTCTCTCCCTCCAGTGTTAATAGACAGTCTTTTGCTGGGTCAGTCCTCTTGAGGAGTATCCTGATTCTGTGTAGTATTGGTTCTGTGAGCCTTAATTTCCATGTGTTCAGGTTCAGGATTCAAGCTGTGAGTGACATTTACAAGTAAGTTTAAAAAGAAATGATAGTAAATTGAAGAGAGAGAGAGAGAGCCACAGCTGGAGGCCTTTGGTCAAAAAGTAAGTCATGGTCACATGAAAGCAGCTTAGGGAAGGTTTAACCTAAAATTCTACTACTACCTCCTGTTCACTCTGCTTTATGCATGGGTTCAAGATCTGAGTTCTCACTAAGAGGCGACCTTAGCAGAATGAAATTTATCTGGAGGCTGAAACTGGTCATTCAATTGAGGCAGGACATTGAGGTTATCATGAAAGAATGAAAACTTCGCATCAGAAGCTGGACAAGGAACATGACAAAATCATGAGTTTACAGTAACTCCAAATTTCTATAAAGAGATGCTGTTATCAAAGATTGGTCTTTATGGTGATTGCATCGGAAGTTATGTTGATGCCCAGAGCCCAGTGATGAGTTGAAGGTGCTGAGCTCAGAAAAATGACACATTTCCAGTGGAATCCTGGTTAGGTCTCAGTGCTGACATTTTTCTAAGAACAAGCTTGATGTCTCTCATTCATTCCCATAGTGCACTGAGGGAAAAACATTCAGGCTGGGAGGCGGTGCCATGGGCCCACATGACAGCAACCCATACACGGTCAGGTGGCAGAGTCCCAAGGCTTTCCCCACCAGTGGTTCCCACATATGTGAGAAAGTCCAAGGTTCCAGAGGTTGGAAGCTTGATGGTGGCAGGCCCCAGAAGACATGTGGACTGGGTTTCCAAGGAGTACTTTATTGTTCATGACATGATAGTTGGATCTGGATGTGCATGTTCCCCCCCACTCCCCGCAAATGCTAGGGGAAGCTCCTGTATATAGGGAGTGGGAAAGAGGAGGGAAGGGATAACTTAATTAGCTATGCTCCCCCCCTTTAGATAACTCATT